TTTATGAATAAGTCTTGAAAATTTTATTTAAACCTCACAATTATTTATTTTGTTAAAGGATTTCCGAAACAATGTGTGTTTAACGCAAAGAAAGAAAATCCCTATACTAAAATCCCTATACTAAAATTTGGCCCACCCGGTGACGCAAACAAACCAAAGTTTTAATCCTACGATGGCCAGCTACTTTGACATCTTTATTTACATTACACCATGAAGCAGCCATCTCTAATATGTTCAAGTCAGGAATAACAAGTCTGAAAAGAAATTCACAAATATTAGTACATGTATACCTCATATTGAAAGAAAGTGATTATATATATATATATATATATATATATATATATATATATATATATATAATTATTTTTTATAAAAATTATAAATAAAAATATGTTATAAGATACAAAAAATAGCCATTTTATTTTCAACACATTCATCACTTCTCAAGACACAGAATGTGTTGAAAAAAATGGCTATTTTTTCAACATCATCTTATAACATACTTATGTTATAATTTTTTATAAAATAATTATATCTGCTCTACTTTGTATTGAGCACTCTTTTAAGAATAGTAATTTTTGGTTATTGGAATTCATTCCGTATATACCAATTATATACTTTGATATATATATATATATATATATATATATATATATATATATATATATATATATATATAGGCAGCAATCCTTCTTTCATGCAACGAAAACGACTCACAAGGTGCTTTTATTTAGTTTTTTTATACAATTTCTCATGCGATCTAACTAATTTTTTTTTTCTTTTCGGATGATAAATTATATAAAAATTGTCCAAATGTTCTTTTTATCCGAGCGCTTTCAGCTGTGCATATAGACATTTTCAAGGATTATATTTTAACTGTTAAAATAAGAAATAGTTTGTTGTATGTATGTTTTATGAAATGTTTTCTTTTTTCAAAAACGGTCAAGATATTATGTTTTTCAATGTTAAATATTCTCGATATGATTATGTGTGTGCGTGTATAGATAGATAGATAGATAAATAGATAGACAGGGGACATAAACACAAGTATTATTGCTTGTGAGAAATCTTTCGATGCATTTACCCTATAAATTGCCTAGGTGTCAAAAACGACACCTCGGCCATTCAAGGTAAAGCCTCAAATATCAGCTCTTCCACTGAATAGTTTTTAAAGAATTAAGTCTGTTAAGCATCTTTGCTAAAATTCAATAATTGTCCATAAGCCTCAGCATCGAACCAAAACTAGTTATTCCATAGTAATTTGTTGAAAATTTGAAGGTGTCGAAAACGACACCTCGGCCATTCTAGTGTTAACTAACATATCAAACGCGCTATAAAGAAATAAAACATTTAATAAAATATTTAAAAAAATACTTTGGTCATTCCTCTTGATAATAATATAAACATTTTGACGATAAAACTTTGCTTTTATCAAGTTTTTGGCATTTTTTTTCATAATGGTATGCTCTTTTTAGAACCTTTTTGAAGGTACCTAAATAAAAACGCAATGTTGATGGGGTGATTCCGAGTAAAATTATACTATTTGATCATATGTATCTAAATGGAGGTGTGGGTGAGTGAATAGAATGTTAGTATTCCAAGCATGATGATCTAGCTAAAGAGCTTATATAGATTGCAATCATCATCATCATCATTATCTTCTTCTTCTTCTTCTTCTTCTTCTTCTTCTTCTTTATGTGCCGTGACCCTTCATGATGTAAGCGATGGTGAGTTTCCACAATTTTCTGTCCTTCGTAGCTCTTAATAAATTTTGTCTTTTTATTATTTTTCTTAAAACTTGTCTCGTCATACATTTACTCAAGCTAAATATGTTACGCGTTGTTTCCTCTATCCATTTTGCCTTCAGTCGGCTCTGTGAGTATCAGAGTTTCCAAGCCCTCTTTTCTCATCATATGCCCTAGAATTTTCAACTGCCTCTTCCTGATGTTAACTATGAATTTTCTTTTTGTTTCCATTTTCTTCCAAACTTTCTCTTATATTTGTTCTCCTCTGTCCCTCTTACCTTCAATCTGCCTTGTGAGTATCACCTTTTCCAAGCGCCCTTTCCTTATTATGTGCCCTAGATTTATTGTGTACTAACAGCATGGCCCGGCGTTGCCCGTGCTTGATTCAAAAATCGTACGACTCATACAGCAATCGCTCTCATTTGACTTAAAATATTTTTGCCCTTCCTTGCCTTTAGAGGAGTACCCTTTGCGGTGCTGATGTTACTACATGCCTTACTTCTTGCCTATCTCACACTGCGGATTTTTTCTAAGCTTACTAATCATAGATAGAACTAAACATTAAATCTGTTACGAAAAAAGAAATAAACAAAATGAACACAACACGATCAGCTTTAAAAAAGGACTCGTAACTGGAAAAACCGAATGAATAAAGAATGTTAACAACAAATACTTTTTCACACCAACCCAGTTCTGCGAAATCAGAATCAACGTTGAGTTTAAGCAAGCGAATGAGACAATAGGAGTTAAGTGTCATGCAGATTTAAATTTTTCCCACTTGTAACGAATGTAGCTATCGATATTTTTTGCATGCTAGTTAACATTCGAGTCAGTCAGCTGTTGGCTCTCACGCTGGCCAATAGAACCTTGCTGCCTATTCGTGGCAGCCAGCTATAGGCTCTCACTTTGGCCAGTAGAAAATGGCCGCAAACTACCTGAAAACTGTCGTAGAAGCATGAAAAATCGATTATTTCGACTATCGATGGGAGTTGGGAAATGCAAAGTCGGTCTTGGCCTTCCTGCTAACTTGGAGCATGTGCATGTAAATTTTGGTGCAAATCCATCGAAAATTGCGGCCGTGCATTCGTTACGCGCGCGCGCACACACACACACACACACACACACACACACACACACACACACACACACACACACATCCCGCCTTTTATAGATAGAGATATTTCTGATGTTATATACAAATGTCCATTTGTATCCATTTTCACTAAACCTTCATCGTTGCTCACATATTCGGTCCATGGTATCTCCAGAATCCTTCTGTAGAACAACATTTCAGTTACTTCGTTTCATCTTCATCTTTGGAGAGAGTATCCAGCATTCATTGCCATATAGGAGGACAGTAAGAGTAAAATCATTGCTTAAAGCTACAGATAGTAGGAAGTTATAGAGAGCTGTGATCGACTAAGTACTTAAGATATATAAAGGAAAAGACGACTGAAAGTAACTTGAAAGAACATTTTTTGATCACTTAAACCAACCACTGATATATGACATGTGTAGCCAATGTAAACGCCATACACAATCTATTCAAGATGATAATAGCGATGTGAGTAGAGATAAAAAAAAAGAAGAAAAGAAATAGATATGATGGTGCTGCTGATGGAACAAAGCTAACCTGAAAAGAAACATTTATTTCACGATATATTTTTTCCTTTGAATTCATTATTCACTCTAGCAAGCCTGATGTCAAAAATGTCTGTTAAGGTACTTTATATCATTTTATTACCTGCCACCAGTGATAGACGACTGACAACTTAGATTACATGCGTCAACAGGTTTGCCGATTTGGTCTTTTTTTCTTTTTTTTCTTTTATCTCTTATTTCTGATGTACATGGTTCGTTATTTGTCTCTCTCTGGCATTCCTTATCTTTCCTCTCTAATTTCTCACTGTCATATCTTTCCTTATTTTTTTCCTTGCTTTCTTCCTTTATTTTCTTCACATTTTTTCATATTATTTGCTTTTTTTTATATTTTACAATTTTTTTGCCGCGTTTTTTCTTCCTCGTAATTAATTACACTCTACGCACTTTCTTCCCTTCTTGTTCTTTAAGCAAGTGATGTTATTAAATAGTATCTGTCACTCGAATGAGATCAATAAGTCCGTACTCTGACACGTATTTATTGGAATAATTTTTATCTATAATGTCCGAACGATATGATTAATATCCATGACTAAATTACGAGCATTGACAAGGGATGAGATTATAATAAGAGTTACATATTTGTGTTGTAAAACAAATGATATTTCTACATAAGGCACTGCATTAATAGATTTATTTTTCATCAGTTCACCCGAAGCAATACGATAATGCCAGTAAGACATAAAAGGTTACTGGGAGTGAAAAAAAAACGGGAAAAATTTAGAAAGAACCGGAAACACAATCCTAAAGAGGAAACAAGGGATTAACCTCTACTCCTGTTCAAAAGATTGAGGAGGAGTGCGAACCGGGCGATAAACGAACCTATCTACTCCTATTCTATAAATACTTATAGTAGGAAATATCATATTGGTCCGTAAAATAATATTGTTCTAGTTATCTTATTGGTCAATAAAATAAAAAAAATCTATTTCTTTTACTGGCCAATAAAATTCTTCTTTTCTTATTGTTAGTCCATAATGTAAAATTCTAGTTAACTTACTGGTCCATAATATAAAGCATATTTTATCGTTATGACAATTACTATAAAATTATTGGCCAATAATATAATTTTTTTCTTGTTTTATAACTTGTCCATAATATAAAATTCTATTTGTGCGTAATATAAATGCTCCTACTTTTCTAATTTTTCTATAATATAACATTGTTCTAGTTGTCTCATTCGTCAATAAACTAAAATAAAAAAAATTCCTATTTCTTTTATTGGCCAATAAATAAAATTCGTCTTTTCTTATTGTTAGTCCATAATGTAAAATTTGAGTCACCTTACTGGATCATAATATAAAGCATATTTTAGCGTTATGGCCCTTACTATAAAATTATTGGCCAATAATATAAAATTTTCCTAGTTTTATAACTTGTCCATAATATAAAATTCTCCTACTTTTGCGTAATATAAATGCGCCTACTTTTCTAATTTTTCCATAGTAATATAACATTCAGGTTTTCTAATTGGGTTAAATATAAAATTCTTCGAGTAATTTTATTGGTACATAATATAAAATCTCACTTGTTTTCTAACTGATCCATAATATAAAAGTTTCTTTCTCGTTATATATTTGACCTATGATATGAAGCTTACGATCATATCACGTTGAAGCACCGGTTTTCGATCGATCACCAAAATTAAGCAATATTGCTCCTGGTCAGTATCTAAATGGGTGACGACTTAGGAATACCAGATGGTGTAATCTTCGGGGTAGGTGTGGTGCAATGGATAGCATGTGAAATCGGAAAGCCGATTTCAAATTCCAATCGGGTTCGTTGCATTTATTAATGCGGAAATACCCTTGAGCGAAAAGAGACAGTTAACATTCTCATCCGATTTGAATCTGTCTCTTCTGATGAGAACCCTGAATCGAATAAGAAGCATAATCGTCGAAGCGTGATACATCTACCCCTAGCAACACGCATTGGGTCGGCGGGGCAAGATAATGGTACATTCCTCCGCGTGAAGTTCTACGTTCAACAGGGACCTTCCTAAGCTGAGAAGATGAAATTGATAATGAAAAAGTGCATTGGTCTGAGACGGCGCTAAATGGGGTGACGTTAAACTGAATTTTGCTGTCTATGCAATCTCATGTTGCGCTTGAAGGTGTACTATTGGATTAATTAACAAAGCGAATAGCAATACAACATAAACACATAATTTTTTTTTTAAATAACCACATAAGTCTTCATAAACAGCAATTGAATATATATATATATATCATACTTATTATAAAACCCAGATTGTGTGTGTGTGTCTGTTCGTTTATATATAGGATCGGATTTCCTATATTTTTCAACCGATTTCAACAAAACTTCACAGGACTACGTAAAATTAACTTGCGATGGTTCTGACAGCGCCAAAAATTAGAAAAACACAATTGTTTTTGCACAAAATCAATTTGAAAACACGATTAAGAGGCATCGCGAGAATGAAAGGGGGACAACTCATATCGAGTTATACTTATTATAAAACCCAGGTTGTTTGTGTGTGTGTGCGTTCGTTTATATATGGGATCGGATTTCCTACATTTTTCAACCGATTTCAACAAAACTTCACTTTTTTTTTGCAGGTAGTGTTTCTTATTGTCTTGCACAATTTTTTCTTTACTTTTACATTCAGAATGCTTTAAAAATTCCATTTACAAGACAATTGTTTATAATAAAATTCTATTCAATCGGTAGACTCATAACGATTATTGAAAACAATGTTTTTGTTTGAGTTTGGGTTTGACCAATTCGTAAAAAAAAAAAAAAAAACTGATTAAGACATGCGTGTCCGTCAACCTTAAACAATAATCTTTGTCAATTTTATTTTTCAATCTTTATGATGGTCGATACTTGATCTATCTCTTACTGTTACATCTCCGGGTAACGCCGGGCTCTACTGCTAATATATATATATATTTCTCAATTTTGTCCCTTACTTTTGGACGTTCCAAATTTGAAAATAAATAAATAATTGTTATAATTCTTTTTCTATCCTTTGAAAATGATTCAAATTTTAGTATGTTATTATGGATGATAACGACTACCAGTTGTCAAAATTTCAGCTTTTCACATTTGTTATTTCTAACAAATATTAGGTTTTAAAATTTTGTCCCTTAGTTTTGGACGCTACTGTATATATATATATATATATATATATATATATATATATATATATATATATATGAAATGTTCATACAAAGGTGTGTATGTGTTTTTTATAAGAGATTTGATATCTGAAAAAAAAGGTGATCTTCAGTACTTATGTTGATAGTCAGGAGCCTGAATAAGAACGTCTTTCTGGTTTGACTGCCAGGAACCAAAGAGGATGTTTGACTTTCGCGCCTAACGATCCCTCGGGCAGTTCACCTGACTATATATCTATTTTTTTAGCTTTTTAAAAGGGTTAGTCAAAGGGAGATAACTTTTGTCTCTCTCAACACTAATATTGTACGATGCCGTTTTAAGATATATGACTTCGAATGACGCTAGATAGTATTTTTATTTGAAAGACTGTTAAAAGTTGTGATACAAAATATAAATGGATGCGATAGTAACATTCCAACCCACTGAAGGATGATACTGATTTTGAACTATCAACTTAACTCATGGGGAATTTTGGTTTTTGCAAACCAATTACACCGCTGAATGCATCACCCGAACTAAAAGTTCTTTAAATATATCATACGTGGTTCCGAAAACTGTGACTCATTTAGAATTCTTAAAATGCAATTAAACACTAAATGCATATTTATAACGATTTACAAAGTGTGTCTTAGAGGTGGCAAAAAGCCGAAAGTATGGAACACCTAGTGAGGAGCGTATTAACCCCTCATTCGTAATTAATCGCCCGAAACAAGCTATCTAACCATTACACCAAGTCGAAGTACCCCATAATGCATATTTATATCTCTAAATTAAAACCAGAAAGTTAATGTAGATTTTGAAATGCAATTTTTTTTCTGATAGCTCTTGATCATAGGCAAGGTATGTCGAAGTAAAAGTTTACTAAAATATCTTATATATATATATATATATATATATATATATATATATATATAGTGTGTGTGTGTGTGTGTGTGTGTATTTGAGATGAGGTATTATGTACATTATTTACATTATTCGGACTATTGTCCTCAGCTTTGTCGCCATATTTATTACAACGTTTCCGCCGCTGTACGCTCGGCCTTCTTCAGGCGGTTGAAATGTCGAACTGAACCCCATATTTCCCTCACTGTGGTAGACTCTTCTAGTTCCACATGCCATGTTTTAATGGATGTCAGTTATCAGTTATCTCCTGTTAATTCCCCTCTGAAGGTTCTCCACTGCCTTAATCGGGTATTGAACTCACACTCTTTGGGTCCTGTAACTGGATCTAACTAACGCAACTGAAGTCATTAGGTTTATAATACCCAGAAATTCATACACAGACACAGGAAACTTGAAGCTTTTTTTTTCTTTCTTTGTACCCGAAATTTAAGGTACTGGACGATTTCTTTCGCATATTTCTGGTTCTTGCTTTTTTTTTTCCATTTTTTTTCCTTGGAGACCAATTTGTTTGAAAATTGTGCTATCCAGTTTTTTTTTTTTTTTCGCACATCAAGTTTAAATAGATTTAAATTATATATATATATATATATATATATATATATATATATATATATATATATATATATAATATATAATGAAAAACAAATTACCTCATTCAGATGGCTATTTCGTCCCCGGGAGATTCTGCCTGGGACTTGTCAATGCAATTACATTTGTTTAAGAAATGAATTCTAACGGGGTTTTTTTTTCAGTTTTTTTAAGAAATTTGAAAAATGAAAAATTAAGGAAGGAAGGAAAAAGAAGGAGGAAAAGAAGAATAAAGATGAAAAAACATCGTATAAGGGAACTGGTATTTAAAGAAATAGAGTGATAGAGAGTCAAAGAAACTAAAGTGGCTATGGTGGTAGTGACCGGAATAAGTCTAGACAGTAAAAAGGACGGTTGAAGATGGACAAAGACCTAAATTTAACATATTAACTCTTGTACAAATGGGAAAAAAATTCTCATTAGTCCCAGGGAGAATCTCCCGGGGACGTAATGGCCATCTGTATGTTGTAATTTGGGTTTCATTTTTGTAATTCATTTATATGGTCTATATTAAATATATTGACCTCTATTTTGTGGATAGGTTTTAATATTTTATATTAATAGGATCTATTTAGATGACTTATCCACTGATTTCTACATATATACACACACACATATATATATATATATATATATATATATATATATATATATATATATATATATATATATATTAAGACATTTATATGTTTACTCATTTTTTTATAGAGACAAATTTTTAAGTAAATGCTCTGTTTTATAATAAACAGTATTAAACAACATTTACCGGCCTGAATGTCCGAGAAATTTTCGGAGAAAATATTCGTCCTCAGGCCGTTAAATGTTGTTGAATACTGTTTATTTTAAACAGAGCATTTACTTAAATATTTGTATATGCCCGAGAATTTTCATAGAAAATATTCGTCTTCCGACAGGATACGAAGCTGTATCCTATACCGAACCGTCATTTAGCTTGTCGTGCCTTTACCGACTTGGCCACAGAGGAGCGTTCGGTTAGCAAGGTCAAATTTATTGTATTTAAACTTTAATCTTCCATGAATCTCTCACGTACATTCATATCTGCTCATGGTGTATCAAATGTAAACAAATGACGTTACACATTATGAAATGGACAAAGTCCGACAATTATTTTAAGACATTTGTATGTTTATACATTCTTTTTATAGATGGTGTTTATCAATCCACCCACGGGGATCGAATGTGGCACAAGGCCTTTTTTGTGGGTATGTCTGAGCCCGTAGGCCCAGCCAAAAATAAACCCATCTAAACCCGTCCAAGCGGGCTGGTTCTGTCAACCTCCCTGAACGAAACCCCACCCTTCGGCGGAGCTTCGTCCGGGTTCCCTCTGCAAGCAGAGAGTTCGACAGACACCCGACCCGGCAGCTCACAAAGCGCAGATACTACACTTTGATCCTAGCCACCGGGACGAGCGGGTATTCTTTTTTGAGATGGTATTTATCAATTCACCCACAGGAATTGAATGTGGCACAAGGCCTTTTTAATGTGGGTATATCCGAGCCCGTAGGCCCAGCCAAAAATAAAACCCATCTAAACCCGTCCAAGCGGGCTAGTTCCGTCAACCTCCCCGAACGAAAAACCGTCCAAGAAATTTTCATAGAAAATATTCGTCCTCAGGCCGGTAAATGTTGTTTAATACTGTTTATTATAAACAGAGCATTTACTTAAATATTTGTATAAATGTCTTAAAATAATTATAGAAATTTGTCCATTTCATAATGTGATATATATATATATATATATATATATATATATATATATATATATATATATATATATATATATATACGGGCTGTGAGGGATACATTTTCGTCTAAATTACACAAAATGAAAATAACACTGATATCTCATTTTAAATGGTATATACATATTACACATAAATATCTTAAAATACTACAGTGGGAATTTATTCAATAAAATCGCCATTGGTTTCAACGACATCCCCCAGACAACTTAGGAATCTCCTGCAACTCTTCTGGACGGTCTCCTTGTTTAAGTAGGTAAATACTGCCTTAATCCTTGCCTTCAGTTCATCTTTACTGCCACAAGGAGTTTTGTG